GAGTCTTACGGCTTCTTCTGCAGTTTTAAGCCGGAGCCCGCCAATCTCGAGACGTCTCAGATTTGGGAATAGGTTAATACTTCAGTTTACCAACTGGGGGAACAGATCGTAAGGAGAACTAGAAGAGAGGTCGGAGTTGAGTCGTGTTGGAGGCGTGAAGAGGTTGTGATGGCAATGAGGGCGAATAGTCTGTTGACTCTAGTCACAGAAGGTCGGTTATGCGCGAGAGTCTTAAAGGCCTCCTAACTGGGTAGTCGAAGAGTTATAATAAGATATAAGTCTAACGAGTGCTAGTTTAGTCACCGAGTAATATTTCTGGTATAATCAACTAGTAGCAACTGGTTCGTAGTTTGTAATCGCTCTGGGGAAAGGTTTTAGCCGCCCTCGAGTCTCCTTTGTATACTCATTGGAGACTCGGGCTGGTTTGTGGTCTTCTAATTCTTTGGGGATAATGAACGAAATGGAAAAGATAGATTAGTCCCTCAACAGTTGGGGTATGAGGCGCGTCGCGACGCGTTATTTCTTACTGCGCCGCAGTATAATTATTTATTTATTCATTATCTTATGCGTGCCTAGCGCTTTATCTTTATTCAAGTTGCTTTTTTGTGCATTTCTTCTTTTATGAGGGGGTTTGATATTATTAACCCCTGACATTTATGAAATTCAATCAAAAAGCGCACAGCCTTTGTTGAATGGTTGTATGCAAACAAACAACATTGAATCAGGATACGGATTATTTTCTGGAAAAGAAGGCTCTAGAATTGTTGGAAAAGTTGAATCTAGACTTTACAAGCTGTTTGTTGGAGGACTTCCCATTGTCTAAGTTGCTTGATTTGGAATTGGTTGCCAAACTCTATGGGCTGGTGAAAACTCAATCTCAACCAATTTTCACAAGAAAATATAATTTAGGTTATCCTGGCACATTTTCACACTTCATGTTTTTATGTAGAGATTGAATGCTGTTTGAAGATGAATTTGGAACACCACTAATGGAGGACTTCCTGTCAGCAGGAATCTTGCAAGTCTGCTCAAATCATGTCATCCAAAGCGGAATATAAATTTGGAACAAATTCATGATTGGATAAATTCAATCTTGAATATCCTTGCCATGAAAAGGAAATTAGAATTCTGGTTTCATTGGAACAACTGTTGGGGAGAAAAAAGCTGTGGGATTGATGCACTTTTTCCAAAGGTTTATTTATGTCACATTGCGTGTCTGAATCTCATATAATGGATGACTTCCCGTCGCAATCTACGACCCCCCAGAAATTGATTTACACCCCTTAGATCTAAATCTTTTGTTGATTTTTTCTCAGTTCTGTCTCTCTGCCCTTCACCCCTTTCTAGTCATCAAAAATCAGACCAGAATATATTCATCGAGTAGCTTGTTTCCTGTTGTTATTAAGCCCCTTCTGAGTCAAATTTGAACCCTAAGTGATCAGCTCTTCTCAACAACTCATGTCTCTACGATGTTTTCTTCTCTTTCCTGATCTTTTTGTTTGATTTATTAAAATCTGATTGATTAGAATTAACGACTCTAAATATCTGTGGATTGGAGGACTTCCCGTCGTCCAAATCTGTAAATTTAGAAGGACATCCTAAACGTTATTTGCTGGTGAAAATCGATCAAGATCAAGTTTTCACCAGCCAATAGAGTTTAGGACCCCCTTCCAGATCAAGTGATTTAGGTGACGGGAAGAATGGAGGACTTCCCGTCGTCCAAATCTGTAAATTGAGAAGGACATCCTAAACGTTATTTGCTGGTGAAAATCGATCAAGATCAAGTTCTCACCAGCCAATAGAGTTTAGGACCCCCTTCCAGATCAAGCAATTTAGGTGACGGGAAGTCCTCCATTATAACATGTTTTTCCTTGATTAACTCATCTGGCTCGACTAAAAGAGACTGAGAATCCCTGTCCAGTCTGTTTCTTCCTCTCAGTGTTTTATTCACTATGTTTTTTCTTTATTCATTTTCTCCAAACCACATTTTGACACACTTGTATTTAGTCTATTTAATCCTAGCTAGATACTTGTGAATAAAAATCATTGGTTCTTACACTCATTTTCCAAGAGCCTTTCCCAAAAAAGATTTCTTCCCTTTTTTTGGCCCTCATCCTCTTACACGCTTGAGTTTTAAATTTCAACATCTTTTTATCAAAAAATCTTTTTTTCTGAAGCCTTCTGGTAATAACTCTCACATGATCTGGTTGAAATCTTCATTGTGTTCTTAATTTAAGACTGAGAGAGGTCTAAAAAGCACTCTAAACCGTGACGGGAAGTCCTCCAATCCATCCTAAAACCCACTTTTCCATTGCCATATTAACTGAGAGTCCACCCCTTCCCCAAAATGGACCTTGCAACATTGTTATTAATTGTTGGGGTCTGGGAAGGTCAGATTATTTGAGCTTTGAATGCCTTAAATGTGTTAGATCTATGGAGGAGTGCTCATAAGACTCAATCATCTAACCCATAATTTCAAAAAATTGAAGCCTAAACTTGATTTGGTGCAGAGGGCTCAATATTTATCAGCCAGTCAAGTTTGGGAATTGGGTTCTACTGTCTGCATCACTTGTAATGCAAGAAGATCAGAGGGTTTATTTCTTCCAAGTATCAGTCCAGGCTTCTTTTCAATTCATCATTTCCCTATCATAGGAACATGTGCTGATTCAAGAGGTCTTCATAAAATAAAAGATATTGAACTTTGAGGTCTTTGATTCTAAGATCATTGGCCTCATGCTCACCCAAAGAAACATTGTGAAAGGTCAATCTTCCACTCAAAGGGGCTCAGATGAATCCCCTGGAATCAGCTTTTGTATTTTATGAAATGAAGCTATGATATGCCAGGAAAATTATGAATCACACGATAATTCAGTCAAGCTGTCATTGTGGAATCAGAATCCAGCACCAGCATATATGATATAATTCGTTTGACTACCCCAAGGTATTTCTGATTGCACCATGAATGTTGAAGCAAACACGATTAATGGGCTTTTATTGCTTTGCCAGGCTGTCTATTCTTTGGACAAAACACCAAAAATGAACTCGATGATAGGGGACAGCAAATTAGCAATGGTATGTACAAACAGGGATGAATTTGGGACTGTGACTATGTAATGGGCAACAATGATGAGAGTATGCACCGGTGGCTGAAGCCGAATGTGGCTGTCGCTAGCTGCCATTTGGCCCAGTAATGAAAAACACCCAGTCCCCGCTTTGTAGGATTTGGGGACTGGCTGGATCCTGGATTAGTATTACTCCTATTAAAAGACTTGGTATGTATGCATGTATATACATCTTATTATGCTCGGTGGGGAAGGTACGAGCAAGCCGTCAAAGTGAGAATTTGGTTGATCAAATTCAAGGGTGCCATGTGGACAGAGTCACGGACAGGCCGGTTTGAATTATCATGCCGAAGGAAGAGGATATGAATCAGAAAATAACCTGGTCCTCACTGTACATACATCTCAGGGGTACAACCGAGCTTTTCCTCCTTAGCTGGGGCCTGGCCCGTCTCTCTCAGAATACCATGCGAGGCTCATTCAGTCGAGCGATTCAACCGGTGCCTTCTCTATGATTCTATCGATGTTGGTTTGCCGTTATGGCGTTATTAGCCTCTGAAGAATATTTCAATCAGATGAGCCACTGACCAGGCTTGACTCGTGCTTCCTGTTTCCTGAAGCCTCACTGACGCTTTAACCCCATCAATTAAGTTGTGGTACTATTTATCAGCAGCTGCTTCCAAGTTCACTCAAACACCAAAGCAAAGCAACTTCCTCCCAAGATTTGAGCACACATCACTCATCTTCAACTTTATGCTTAATTACGAAAATATTTACCACCGCACCGCAAGTACATCGAACACATACATACACAAGATCTTCCTTTTCCCTCAACCAAATCCAGACCCTGCTTTCTCTGCGCTTGGCGATTTTCCTTTCGGTTCCTTCGCTCTCAATCTCCGCACTGCAGGTGCAAGTCCTTAACTGCGGAGCCATACATATTACAACTTTCTTTTTTTGAGCTCACATCCGTCATATCTGGCCTTCCATTGCCAGTTTCCTGGGTGCTGTTGTATCGTACATTTATCCTATCAGCTTGCTGATTTACCCCGTCGCACTTATCACATTTCAATTGGCTTTAACCTTTGGTCATCCTAACTCATTCAGTCTCTTAAGATTGCAGACAATATTTCGGACTTTTAGTGCTGTAAACTCCCTCCTTCAACTTGGCGATTTCCGTTTGATTTGTTATACTTTATTCATTAGACCCCATGGCTGTTATGTCGGACCGCACCCAGACCTATTTTCTCTCTAATTCCTCTTCATCTCTTGCGCCGCGCAAGTATTCAGCTCCGCTTGGCCCCTATCAACCTCCGAAGACTAGTTCAGCTCATGAGCATCTATATGGTCGGGGCTCCCTCCTTCCCATGCCGCCTAACTACAACGAAGGTTCATGCTGGACCTTGGCATCGGTGAGGTGCCTCAACCCCAGCCCTCCTGATAGCCGTCCTCGAACAATTGCGGTTGAAGTGACCAAAGTCAGTCTCAGGATGGATGGCCGCTGGGCGGAGGAGAAGCCCTACATTATCGAGAAAACTTGGGAGGAATGGGTAGATTTACGAGAGCAGTGAGTCTTTTTTTTCTTTCATCCGTTTGACCTGAGACCGCATACTTGAATTATCCGGCTTAATTCTGCGTTTTCTGCTTGACAGGCTCATTTCCCGATATCCAGAAACTGAATCAATCTTACCCAAGCTCTCCAAAGGCCAAGGCTTCCTTGAGTCCATCTTTACCAACTCCAAACGCAGCCAAAATACCCAAACTTCAAATATGAAAGAGTTAAACAGTTTCCTCAACTGCTTAGTTGGAAAGTGTGCCAAGAAAGTTCTCAATTCCGACACTTTGCACGTCTTTCTTCAAACAGAACAAATGAGAGCAGGTGTCCATCAGGTGGAATACACCGATGATGATCTGCCCTTGCCAAGAGGCCCGGCATTTAAAGAAATACCGAGCCGCGACGATAGCGCTTCCATCTCTTCTCATTTGCAAGCCTTTCGGTTCCCTGGGCCTGCTCCATCACCAGCTCCTCCCCATCTGAAACCGAAAACTTCTCAGCCCAACCTTGCTTCACGACATATGGCTCTTGGCCCTGAGGTAGAAAAGCCTATCCCGAATGAAAGGCTTTCACCTCACGATCGACGCAGACCTACACTTGATACCATGACTGTCATTGCCGAGCGTCCGCCACCACCAGGCTCGATACCGGACCCACAAACCGGACCAATCCTCCGCTCCGGTACCTTGGGCCGCACCCTAGCAGCACCGAGCACTCGCCTGACGAACAAATCTCGAAACCCACTGAGACCTACTACTGGCGTAGCTCGACCTCCTCCTCTGGCACCTCCTAAGCGGCCAACCACTTCCGATTCTAGGCTCCCTCACGAAGCCATGCTGAAACCTGCGATGGGTACTAATTATAGATCCGTCTGCAGTCCAGTTGCCCCCACACCCGCCAGAAGACCTTCTGAACTCCTTCTGAGTTTTCCGCGAGAGGCAGAAGCTGCTCAGCTTGCCAGGCCGCGTTTGAGAGAATTCAAGTCGATGCAAGATATCAGGGCCACCGCCGGTACCATCAAGGCCTCCGGGCGATCTGGAAGGAACGGTCTAGCAGACCCAGGTCGCAATAACAGCGTCCCTGCCGTGGGGCAATCTCCTCAAATGGTCTTGCAGGTTCGATCGCCAACCAACCCTTGGCACAGACATCGGCGAACCCCTTCGGATTCCAGCTCCAGCTTCGGCTCGTCGCAACTCTCTCCGATATCCTCAGTATTGAGCTCACCGACTGTGACACCGTCTAGTTCAAACAACTCAATCACCAAACCAATTCCCAATCAGCAAATCCAACCCAAATTGACCTGTCGTCGCAGTGTTGATAGTCTCGGTCCCAATTCTATGAAATGCGACGGTGCCAGCTCGCTGATGGTGGTCCCTGAGCGTGAACCGAATAAAATCGTCGTCCGCCCCAATGTGCCACCAGCACCCTTTTACCCTATCCCTCCTCGCATCTCCAATTCCACCGCGAATCCCCTGAAGGCAAACAAAATCACATCCACTTTCCCCCAATCTCAAAAACGCCCTCATACTTCGGCAGGCAATGCCAACGGTCTCAAGCCGAGCTCTCTCACGTTGAAAGTCGTTCACTTGGAGTCCAAGACAAACATCATCCTGGCCGTCCAGAGAGGCTTATTTTCCCTGCCTCAAATCAAGTCCAAGATCCAAAACAAGCTCAAGATGGCCGCCGAAATCGAATTGAAGTCGGATTGGAAAATCAAATTGACGATGATCGATCAAGAAGAATTCGTAAGACACGTTGAAGGTGGAGAGGCGAAAGCCGAGGATGAAACTGAAGACGATGGCTTGAAGTTGGTGGAATTAATCAACAGGAAATCAACCGGTTCTGAAATCAAAAAGATCACCCTCAGAATCCAATAAGCCCCAGCTGTTTTCCTCACGTGTTCTGAATATAAGTGTAGTTTAGTGTCAGAAGTCATTCTTTTTTTTTCTTGTGGTTTGAAGGGACTCGTACATTCATTGTTTTATTCTCAACTTCTTTTGGGGTCATTTTCTGCGCGGATTTGTTAAAACGTCGTGTATTTGTAAACTTTGTCGTTTATCTTTTATCTTATCGTACTAAGTGAAGTTTTCAAGCAGTAAAAACATTAACTTCTTGTTGAAACTGTTGTGCATGTCACTGCCCCTGACCTGCTCCATGTGAGCACGACCGAGTTAAGTGAAAGATGCCTGAAATGATTTCGTTCCCCTTGTAGTCAATGAAAAATCGGAGAGAAAGAGTCCGGGCCATTATCCTGTGGTATTGTTATTTTTGCCTTGCCACTGCACTTATGCCAATCACTTCGCCCGTTGTTGGGCTTTCCAACCTAATGTTGAATGAATATTCAACCACGGAATCCAAAAAAGATCCGAAATTCATTCAAATTGAGAATCAGTTTTCAAAATAAAGTACGTCCAATTTTTAGATGATGTGACTCTCCCATGTGATTGTGGAGGGAACAAGACTCGGCACATGAGGCTCATGTCACATCTGTGTTGATGTGGAATGTGATATTTGAAGCACTGAATGACTATAGAAAATCACCAAGTGAGAGGCAAAGATGGCGTGCAGTTGGGCTTTCTGCAAGTCTGGTGATGGCAGCGGGGCGAGGTGAGTCAGCACAGCAATCAATTGCTGAATGTGAGGGTAAAAAAGGCAAAGAGGAAATCTACGAATTTATACAAGGACATCTATGAGAATAGTTCGAATATCAAAACTCGTTTCCAGATACAATCCAACTGAATCCAGAATAGTTTCGGCACCCTAGCCATTATGATCTAATCGATCATCAATTCCTTTTTGAGTTTGACGATCAGAGCCCATTCATCTTTAGAAACCTCTGCTCGAAAGACGTTCTTGAGGACGTCAATAGATTGTCTACTAATTTGACTGATCAGTTCATCTTTGTCATCAAATTGACGCCCATAAGTCATAGCTGATTGGTAGGAAGCGTGTTCAATTTTGACTGCTACACCTGCCCCTGCTTGTTCTCGTTTAAGAGTCTGGACCGATTTGTGATTAATCTCTAGGGATGTACTAACCAAAATTGTAAGGCCATACGATTTGCCGGTCAGCTTTGCCGATTTTACATCTTTCTTTGAGCTCCTGTTATATAGCACTTACACTTTCCCCAGCGGAATCGTTGTTCGCGCCTTCGTGGTCGGATCAACTTTAACAACACAGAGGGGAGTGCCGACTTTCAAAGTACCTTCCAGAATATCACAGCCAACAATGATGGCTAGAGAGAATCATTCAAATATTGATAATGTCAAACTAAAAATCGCGGCGGTTCGGCTTCATCCCAAGTACTTACGATCTCGCTTTGTAAAAGCCTGGATAATCTTCAGCCGACATGGCCAGACTGCGATCGGCGCTGAATCGATTCTCTTGGCCTCCATGATATCAGCGTTGTAAGCCGTAAAGGCGTCAAACAAATGATAAATAATATCGGCTACAAAATATCATGGAATTGTTTGTTAGGAAGCTAATCAATACAAACATTTGTCAAGAAGAAGTTTTACCTTTGAAAATCCTGACACCTGTTTCCTCAGCTAATTTTTCAGCATCCTTGTCAATCGGTACATCAAATGCCAATAGGACCGCCAGCTCTTTAGCTTTCTCCAACATCGTACCTGCCCGCATCACATCACGTTTATATACGGGGCCAATATTGATTCCAGAGACCTATTAACATTTTCCAATTAGAATATATAAGAAGAGGTATCCATCAGTATAACATATGTGAGAATCTTTCAAGCGACCGACTGACTGGGATTTTACTCGTCCTCAAGAACTCTAGTAATGCTTCCAGGGAGCCCAAGGTTGAGGCCTGTACGCAAACACCTCGACCCGATTTATCGATGTTACTCATCAAATTCGTCAAGTCACCCATCACCTCTTCCTTCAAATCTTCCTCATCATCGTCCTCAGTCAGTAGCAGGAGACGAGAGCCTGCAATGGCTTTCTCAAGCTCAGGAGCCACAATTTTAATCCCCAGTGAAGCCTTGACTTCCTTGTGATGTACGTATTGTCCCTAGATACATATGAACATGACAATTTTAATGTACGTCGTCAAAAATGCGGACAAACGGTGGAGTTAGAGAAAAGAAAAGGGTGGACCGACTTTGATTCTCAACTCCTTCATAGGTTGAGGAGTAAGAAGCGCTCGAACTTGGGTGACAATCGGACCATTTAGACCACAAACGACAATTTTGTCACCCTCTCGTAGGACTCCATTCGACAGAACGACATCGATCGTCGTCCCTAGCCCTTCGATCACTTTGACCTCCAGAACGGTACACTCGAGTTCAGAGAGGTACATCAATCTTTCTGACATCCTCTCCTGCGTTAGTTTGATTAACAGCATCAGTAGATCAGGTACCCCCTCTCCGGTGACAGCTGAAGTGGGAACAAGTGAGACGTTTTTGGAGTAGTTCGTATTTTCGTAGTAAGGTACTGCATTCAGCCCTTGTTCGGCAAAGGCAAGAATAACCGATTCCAAACGAGTCTCAAACTCTCGTTGGACAGGTCGGACTTGTTTGGAAAGTGAGTCTCGGAATGCATTCTCCCTTATGGCCGTCCAACCGTAGAGACGATCGATCTTGTTAAGGGCAACGATGAACGGAGTTTTCTTATCACGAAGAAGCTTCAAAGATTCAAGAGTCTGCTGCTCTAGACCGTGCATGATATCGACGACCAATATTGAAATATTGCAAAGCGAACTTCCTCGACTACGTAGGTTCGTAAATGACTCGTGTCCGGGGGTATCGATCATCAGTAGGCCAGGAAGCTTGTATTGCTTGAGGTCGTTTTCCGCCATGACAGCAGTTTTCCGTTTGATGGCTTCCATAGGGAAGAAGGTGGCTCCAATCTGTTGAGTGATTCCTCCAGCTTCACCTTCTTGGACGTTAGTTTGTCGAATCTAAAGATCAAGTATAAAATCAACCCAAGCTTTAACGTTTCAGATCTTCAGATCATCATTTGACGAGAGAAAACTTTACCTTATCAAGAAGTTTGGTTTTCCCAGTATCGACGTGTCCCAATATACAACAGATCGGACTGCGCATATCTTCAGGTTTCCGGGCGGCCATCGCCTCTTCATGACGCTTGATTCGTCTGGCTGCAGCTTCAGCCTTTTTCTGTGCGGCCATCTTGCGAGCCGTGGACATCTTCTGTCCCTCCTCGTCCGAATCCGAGTCAGAGTCATCCGAATCAGAGTCGGAGTCGGAGCCGGAGCCGGAGTCGGAATCCGAATCATCTGAATCCGAATCTGATTCCTCGTCAGATTCCTCCGATTCTTTCGCCTCTTTAGCCGCCTCAGCTTTGGCATTTTTCGTTGCCGTTGCATTAGAGCCACTTGGTTTAGATTTTGAATCGCCAACAATTGTATCCTTTGGTCGTGCTTCAGGTTTGCTTGACTTGGAAGCTGCCTGTGAGGGCTTTCCAGAGGCCTTGCCGGCAGGTGGGGCTTTGTTTTCGTTAGCTTTGTTGGCTTTCGATGAAATCGAAGCTTCCTGCGGTTTTGTGGATTTGGCGCCTGTCGACTTAGCCGGGGCGGGTTTCGGTTTTTCGTCTTCTTCACTTCCTGCTTCCCAATCATCTTTCACATCGTCACTTTCAGCCTCCCAGTCATCCTTCACGTCTGGTTCTTCGGGGACGGGAGGTTCGGGGGGCGGAGGTGAGGGAGAGCTAGCGGCTGGGGGCGTGGGAGTTTCAGCAATTTCAAGCTTGCTGACATCAGGAACAGGTTCCGGTTTAGATTCGGGCTTCACAGAGTCAGTCGTGGGATCCTTCTTTGGACCTTTTTTACGGTTTCCATATGTCACCTTCTTCGCACCTGAGGATGGAGCGGTTTCATTGCGTTCTTGTATGCCCACTACCACGGCGCCCGATTCGACAAGAGCCTTGAGTCGAAGCTCAGCTGCGGCTTTCTCTGCTTTCTGCTTGGGAGTCAACAGTTTACCCGCTTTCCTCAATTCTTCCTTTTTGGCCTGTTTGAGGGAGGGATGGAGAGCAAAATAGTCAGTGCAATGTTCTGGGCACATGTGGAATGAATAATCCGAGCTGGAGACAAACCTTTTCTCTCTCCTTCTTCCGTGCCTTTTCTTCTTCTTTGCGCTTTTCTTCAGCTTCAAGTCTATCTTCTTCTTCTTGCCTCAGTCGCTCCTCCTCCTCGGCCTTGGCCTTAGCTTCAGCTTCTAACCTTTGACGCTCTTCCATTGCTGCCTACGGATAATCAAGTTAAACAAAATTTCAGCTATATGTTTTGAGGCGACACTCAATTGTGTGATTTAGGCCAGAAACCACTGACTCGAAGTGCTGACAGTTTGCCCCCGACTTTCTTTTTGGGCTCTTCCTTCGGAGCTTCAGCCTTTTCGCTAGCCTTTTTTTCTAGAGTTTGTCCAAGAAGTTACTTATTAGCCAACAGATTGCCAGACTGATTTTGAGAAAAGAAAAGAAACTTCCAACTCACTCTTCTTTTTATTTTTGGATGTCGTGCCTGTAGCTTGGGCTTCATTCTCGACCTCACCATCCTCGTTATCAGCAGCTGGGGTGGCTGGGACTTCTTCGACCGATGGCTTGATTGGATCACTCTTAGGTGGGATCGCATCGGTCTTGGGATCCGAATCAGCTGTTGTGGCTTTCTTGGATGCGGCTTGAGCTTTCTTCTTGGCCTTCTCCTTCTCTTTCTTCAGTTTTTCTTTCTCCTTCTTAGACAATACGCCTTTTGTTTCTGGGGTTTGATCGTTTTCGTTGTTCAAAGGCGGCGATGATGGCTGTTCGGTTTTCATCTTCGCTTCTGCTTCTTCCCGAGCCTTTCGTGCCTGCTCCAGTAGTTCGTCCTCATCCAGGTCGTCTGCAATTGGCTTGTTCCCCTTCTTTTTGTTCTTCTTGGCCTTTTTCCCTTTGTCAGGGTCCGGGTAAAGCTCGTCCATGTCCGGTTCGTCTGGGATCGGGTCTGCCATTATTATTATCGATGTGGTTTGACTGGTTCCGGTTCGATGGTGTTGTGTTCCGTTTTTTTTTTTTTCTGTTTGGGATGAAGATGTGATCTTGAACACATCAGATTGCTTTCTGAAGTAAGCCCCCCGTGCCCACTAATGGAAGCCGCGCGCACCAGGACCATCGAGCCCCCGTTCTGCCCTGTGACAGCCAGCTTACATCCGACCGATCAGTTGCGGCTGCTGAGTTTTAAAGTTTTGAGTTTCACAGCAGAGTGCAGCCGGCAGCCGATCGCCGATCATTTGAAAATCCTGCAAGCTGCACCCCAGCGGACGATGGGAGTGGTTACGTCATGGCTGGGAACTGGTCCCAGGACCTGCCCGGCTCGGTTCGGTTCAAGCCAACCCCGGATCCCATTGCACCACCACCCCACTTAACATCTGGACCATCTCCTCGTAAGCTCACCATCATCTAGATTCTGGAAGGATATATAGCAAATAAATATTGAATCATTTCTACTTATACCACAGGAACAATCTCATCGAATAGCTCCAAATGGCAACCGATCGAAAGTCTAATGATTATTATATCGGCGTGGACGTAGGCACGGGCTCAGCTCGAGCTGCCCTCGTAGCCTGTGATGGCGAAATCGTAGCCGAGTCAACTTACCCAACGACAACCTATCGGGACGATCACAATCATGATATCTTCGAGCAATCGACAACTGAGAGTGAGTACCCTTGAAGTAATCGATTCATCCGTGTTGGGGTGGCCTGCTTTATATGATTTGCTGATATGATATCTTATGGTGGTGTGTGTGACAATCATTTAGTTTGGAACTCGATCGCCAAGGCCTGTAAGGATTGTCTCAGGGACGCTAAAGTCGGTCCAGAACAAGTCAAAGGAATCGGTTTCGATGCGACCTGTTCATTGGCAGTTTCCACCTTCGAAGGTGAACCGATGTCGATCACTCAAGATCAATGGGGCCCTGGAGAATCGAAGAGGAACATCATCCTCTGGGCCGATCATCGTGCCCGAGATGAGGCCAATCTGATCAATTCGAGCGGCAGTCCGGTCTTACAATATGTCGGTGGGACGATGAGCTTAGAGATGGAGATACCTAAGGTACTGTGGCTGAAAAGACACATGCCTGAACAACTCTTCAAACAATCCATGTTTTTCGACTTACCCGATTTTTTGACCTATCGAGCAACTGGTAATCTAGCCCGATCCAACTGCTCACTAGCTTGTGAGTTTCATACTTTTTTTTTTGGTTCTGAAGGCGCTTTTGGGTCTCCTACTTCAATCTCCTGATCAAATTGAAGACCGTGATTTCTCATTTAATTTCAATCCAGGTAAATGCTCTTATGTTCCTCCCGAGGTCGAAGGTCATAAAGGTTGGAACGACGACTTCTTTAAGAAGATTGGACTACCCGAATTCGTGAGCTCAGAGATTCGACAACATTTGCTCATTTTAGCTCTATCAAAGATGATACTCCCGTTTTGAACTGATCACTCTTTTGCTTGATTTTGTGTTCATCAATTAATTTTCTGTCTCCGTTTATCAGGTCGAATCCGACTTCAAACAAGTTGGTGGTTCTCCCGGAAAACTGGGTCTAATTCTGACTGCCGGTCAGCCAGTTGGATCGGGACTCACGGCCAAAGCAGCCAGCGAGCTCGGGCTACTGCCAAACACGCCCGTTGGCTCGGGCGTGATTGATGCATATGCCGGCTGGATCGGTGTCGTCGCTGCGAAGATGGAAGGTGAAAAGGACAGTGATCTCGGGACGAGTCAGCACCGACTATGTGTGAGCGCTGGTACTAGTAGCTGCCATATCGTACAGAGCCCAAATCCTGTTTTCGTCCCAGGTGTTTGGGGCCCTTACTTACACGCAGTCTTCCCTGGATGTGAGTAAATCTATGCTCGAGTATTAAATGTAATCGGCTGTTAAGACATCTTGAGCTTCCTTACCACGTCAGATTGGATGAATGAAGGCGGTCAATCTTCGACCGGACAATTGCTAGATTTCATTATTGATGTGCGTTTGCCGCCAATTTTTGGTAATTTGATCTTTGGAAAGGCTAACTCCTCTTTCTTGCATGTATCGTTCCACAGACCCATCCAGCGGTCAACAAAGTCAAAGAGTTGGCGCAAGCAAAAGGTGTCAATCATTTTGTCTTTCTCAACGACACTTTGAAGCAAGCCCAACAAGACAAAAAAGCGCCTTTCTTGACTTATCTCACCAAGGATTACTATTTGTAAGCGGAAGAGCTTTCTGCTTTATCGATCCAAAAGGGAATTTGACATCTGTGCCTTTCCTTACAGATATCCGGATCTGCATGGGAACCGATCTCCCTTGGCTGATAACGCTATGAAGGGCATGCTAATCGGCATGTCACTCGACAAGGGTGTAATGGATTTAGCATTACGGTATTTTATTACGTGCGAAGCGATTGCATTACAGACCCGACAAATCGTGGACAAGATGAACGATCAAGGCCACAAGATCACCGCGATCTTCATGTCAGGCGGGTTAGTCAAGAATGCTGTCTTGATGCAGTTGATAGGTAAGTTGAAATATCGCGGATCGACTGACTATATAAGCCCAAAGCTCAGCCTGATCATGCATTCTCTATTTAAATCGATGGTAATAACTATCCAGCGAACATATGTAATGTCCCAATTCAACTGCCAGCTTCACATTCGGCTTCAGTTGTTTTGGGTTCGGCCATGCTGGGAAAGGCCGCTTATGTATCCACTCAACTATCGCAATCCCAAGTGATTTCCAAGCAGGATGTCGCTGAGGAGAGAGCGCATCAAATGAAAGATAAGTTGTGGGAGATTATGGTGAGCCATTGGATCTTTCTCTTCTGCGAACGATATCAGTCAAGCTGTATGCTTTACTTGGTCTTATGAGTGGCCATGAACTAACTCGGGCAAACAATGCACGTATTAATTTCAATAGGTTGGAATGTCTAGACCAGGTACCACAATCAAACCGCATTTGACTGAGCAAGAAAAGAAATTGCTGAACGTCAAATACAAGATTTTCAATGAATGCATCGATCTACAGCGCAAATGGAGGAAAGATGTTCAAGACGCTTTGAGTTGAACAAACAATTCTCCAGACTGTATGTGTGTGTGTGTTTTCTTGCAAGAATAGTAGGACTCAACAAGACTACAACTGGTTGGACTTTAAGGCCTATAACCTTTGTAATTTCTTCGCTTCAAAGTAATAAGTAGAAATAGATAAAGCAATGAAAAGACTCATGGGTATGAATAGAACAAATGATATATGTTGGCTCCAAATTTCTCCAGACAACAACTTCACCTTACAATCAATATAAAAAAACATAGGCACAGAAGAGAGGCTGAGGACTCGGGTGGCTGAGTCTGTTTTGGATCTGTTCATCGATTCTCGAGATGTTCTGGCTTGGAAAAAAAACATGTTTTCATTTTCACGACATTGCCTGCTTCCTCAACGGAACCAAAAGCACTTGCCTATGTCACAGCTGAAACACGCTATCTCGCTGGGACTCTACGGCATCCTTTGGGTGCCTCTGTATTCCTGAATTCCATGAAGGGACTGTCCATACTCTAGTCGACATCAAGCCTAACGCAGCCCTCTCGGAGACACTCCACGTTCCTTGCTAGGTGTGAGTCCGCTTCATCAAATTGAGGGTGCGATCTATACCCGACCGATCCAGTGATACAACTGCTTAATATGTAGATCAGAGGAATATCACCAACCAATATTGCATGTAGAGCCATTCTTTGGTACAGACAATCTCACGACCTAGCCGACTGACGACTTTTGTCCGGGACAAGATACAATTGGCATACTAAATATGACTAGTTGCAAGGACCAGGACTAGTTTAGTACTCTAGCCGTATTGCTCAAGGGCCAAGCGGCTTGCTGGAGTAATCTTTGCGGTACAAGCATACATTAAGGGGGTTCACATTTCACACTTTCCACTGCTAACTTGTAATAAACTTTCTGCTTGCTGATTTCGAAACTCTGTGCAAACTTGCACTGGCAGCAGGCTAATTTTAAGCGTGAGATCTCAATTCCCTCTGCTAACTTCAAATGAAAAATTTGCTAAAAATTTTGAAATGTGAACTGTCCTATTTACTCGAGATCTGTTTGTCTTAGGGAAAGAGAGCACATGATTACAAGCTTTGGGGAATGGCAAGGACAAGGGCATGATGATTCAAGTGAAGGTCATAACATCCATACAGATTGTTTCATGGTTCATTTGTCACTGAGAATTGTTTCATGGACTGTATACACTTGGTGCAACATACCCAGGTATCTACTCATTATGGCAATAAAATTCCTGTGGCCAGTCATTTCTCACTTGAGAAGAAGAGGTGAAGTTGCAATATAAATACCCTCAATTTCCTGTTGCTTAAATCTATTTGTCATCCAAGGTGTCTCCTCACCATTTTTGTCATTATCTTTTACCTGATTTCAAACAACTTACTCTTAGCAAGGCCAGAGGTAGCCATACATAGTCATGCTGATGTTCTAGTTTTTAAAAAAATCAGATCTTCAGAATTAAGTTAGTATTTAATTTTAACAATTTTGGATTTACAATCCGTGTTTCATTCAAAAAGACCTCTGATCCTTGATTCATTAGCATCTAAACCCAAAGTATCAGATGATAATAATTCCTTCTTGCATGGTAAGTAGCAATTCAGGATATTGCATTCCATGTCACTGATGATTCAAGTTGATGTGCTGACTTGTAGGTCAAAACCTTATTAGGCACCAAAAAAGCACCTCAAATGGATAAAGAAATTCGACTGTCTGGTCAAGGCAACACCCCTCCTGGCAAAGATATTTTAAAAGAATTTGAGAGAGATTGGGATATCTTAAAAGACAGATTGGATGACTCTGGAATTGAAATTCTTGCAAAATTCATATCTGAGCCAAGAAATTTTAGGATACTCCAATATTCTTTTGAAAACATTGACAAATTGATAAAAACCCACACTTCCAAAAAAAAGATATACTTGGGAATTTATGGAAAAGTATGAAGAGTTCCTAGACTATAATACTTTAAAACTATTTAACAAATTTGATAATAAAAACTACCACCAAGAATTTATGGAAGTGTTGGATGAATCTGGGCAGAAACTATTCAAAAATGCTCACAATAAGGCCATGGAAAGAATAGAAAACCTAAAAGAAGCTCATTCAATGGAAGAACATCATAACATTTTCCAAGATTTGCTTTCAACATTCAATGAAGAAGAAAAGAAAATTTTATTTAACTATCTGGAATTCATAGAAGAGAAAGAAAAGGAACTTTTGGCTATGGAACAAGATGAGTAAGAAGGTATGTCATTTTATATCTCTTCTGAACCTGAATCAAAATGGTGGAGTGGTGTTTTATTCTAAAAATATATGTTTGATGATACGTATTTTGCAGCTCCTGAAAGTTTGAAATTATCAGAAGGTCAGTGTTCCAAACCTAATCAAATTGGTTTTTTCTGAGTGCAAGAAGGCCTGATCTGATCTCTCATTGCCATTTACACCTGGGATATCAGATGACATGGTTCAAATTTGGTATATGTGGATTTTCACTTTCTTTGGATATTGCATCATCCCATGGTATTGAATTTGTGCCGTTATCTGAGAACAAAATAATTCACTTGGACTTCCAAAACATCACATCTCATTATATTTCCCCTAAGTACAGCATTCCTAATCTTGCATAAAAATCCCTTGGGTAGAGCATTGTCAAAACCTTTTTTCAAACTGCATTGGCCGCTCCATCTAACCAACCAAAACCAATTGGAATATGTCTTTAAGCTTCCAAACACATTTTCTTGATTTTTGTTTATTTACTTTCTTCAATATGCATCAGTAAAGAAAAATTACTACAATTTTTCACACAATATTTGAGACTTGGTTGGAGCTTTTTATTGTGTTATATTTCCTTGAATAGCCCTCCCCAAAGATTTCAGCTAGACTTGCATTAGTTGGGGAAGTACCAGAGATTTTTAGTCATAGGGTAAATTCTCGATTGACATCAAGTATGGAACACATGCAATGTGGCTTGAAGTACCCACACATCATCTGTTGTGGAACTACTCAGCCAGGGAGATAGAGCTTGGAGGGGATATAGACAACTACACTAGTACTAATGTAAGCTGAGACTTCAGGGGATGATGAAGATTCCCTCCTGTGCAAAGCTGATAGGAAGAGTCTAACATCAAGGAAAAGAAAAATATACTATATAGGAGTGGCTGATTTGACTGATGACTCCTACTGAGGTGTGAGGAGGATCAATGAGGTGTGATGAGGTGATAACGGGTAAGTTTGCAACACTGGAAATGAGGTGAAAACTGGTAAGGGTGTAACATTGGGAATGAGGAATGACACTAAAAAATGGTAATAACTGGCAAAAGGGGATGTATAACTAGAAATGATATCTGGTAAAGATATAAGGGTGATAATAATCTCTAGTACTAAAACAATGGATAGACCACATCAAACTGAGGAAATCAGAGCATACTTCACTGATACTCTTGACCAGCCTCCAAGATTTCATAGCCTGTGAAGCTTGAGTCTATTCTAATCCAACAGTTTTCCAGTAAGTTACATTGATTCTGAAGTAGGTTCTGAAAAGATATGTATTTTATGTAACACACTAGTATTTTCTCTTCCTACAATGATTGTGATGATTTTTATAATCATGTTGTTTGTACACCTAGGGTGCACACCCATGTGGGCCAATACCCGTTTTCAAGATCTGTTTGTCTTAGGGAAAGAGAGTACATGATTACAAGCTTTGGGGAATGGCAAGGACAAGGGCATGATGATTCAAGTGAAGGTCACAACATCCATACAGGTTGTTTCATGGTTCATTTGTTACTGAGGACTGTTTCATGGACTGTATACACTTGTGGAACCAACTACAAAAATCAAGCTTACCGGAGCTTACCAAACTTCTACAGAGCCAATCATGTGGATTTCACAGATTGGCTGTGTTTTGTCGGATTCACAATCCCACATGGCAAGAAGTTCCCCTGGGGTGTATTTCATCTTCTTTAGCTTTTTTTTCATAAGGTCCAGATATCTGATGACATTGTAAAGTCCAGTCTGGTGATTAGAAGCTGTATGTGTGACTTTTCCCTGATTTTTTAATCCATTCCAGAAAGGGGAAAAGAGTGACTTGGAAGGTGGTGAGTTCTCTAATAATTTCAGGGCTTCACAGGATATAACCTGGTCATACTTCTTCACAAGCTTACAGAAATTAGTTACTTGGTCTTCATTGTTTATCTGTTGATTTGATCAAAAGAAGATTCAAATGGTTGTGTTCTGGGATTTGGTATGAGTTTTGGTATAGGTTTTCACAATATATCAGCTCCATATTCACCAATTTTTTCTTTCATATTATCTGTCAGCCTATGTGATGCCAAGACACAAGTCTTCTAGCTACACAAGGTGCAAAACTAATAGTTTTTATGGTAAAAACTCTGGGATAAAGAATGGAACAAGTAATTCAAAAGAATTACGTAGATTTTATGGATTAAATCAAAAATGTGGCCAATTTATATTAACAAAATTAATATAAATAAAACCAGAGGGGCCTGATAAATCAGGGGTGGTTTAATACCTCTAAGGTATCGTGCAAAAAGCAGAGGATTTAGGTACCTGATACACTGGGGCCTGTAGCAGGTGTGGTTTAAATCCCAGGAGATAATTTTAAGGGGAAAATCTTCAAGAAAGGGTTATTACTTACTAGTAATAATCCTAAGGGGTCTTGAGGATCTTCAGGGAAGAAATGGACAGTTGGGAGCGCTCAGAATTGTTGATTTTGGGTGCTGTGTGATAACTGGGGAGTTTCTTGAGGAATCTTGAGGCTTTAATAACAGCAAAAAATAGTAATAACTAGGCTAATTACAAGTGTAGGTGACTTGTAAATGGTAAGTAAATTTCTATAAGGTATTGTAAAGCTGGGGGATCATTATTTGGGCGGTCAGAAGGCCCTTTAAATACCTGTGGAAGGCCTCAGGGGTTGCCCAGGGGAGCTTAGTAGGTCTTGAGCGCGCTTGTCGCACTTGTTGGGCCATTTTGGCCCACCTGGAGACGTAACAAGGGCTGAAACCTTGGGGATGAAATTCTAGAAGCTCCAAGGGGTCAAGCACGAGTTTATTTGAACCAAGAATATTCCTTGGGAGCCTGTGGGTAAGGGGTAGTCTGTTACGTGGAGCCATTACCTTGGAAATGGGCCACAGAATGTGCCAGAACTGGTTTCTGGGGCTTGTTACACGTGCTACAAACTGGAAGATGGAATATACAGAGTTACTGTAGTATATTCATGAATATTCTAGCTTGTTTATATTTTTATTACACGTGCGGGGGCTTTGTTGAC